TATTCATGTTGGAATTCGTATTATTGCTCTTGTATTATGTCAAAAATATTCTATTGTCTGTGTAATAAATGCTTGCTTTTTAAACTAGGCTTAGTTATTGAAGTTTGCCTACATTGGTAAATGTCACCCTAGTTTATTCATTTTGAATGTTGAATATATTCTATTGTGATAGTGAGCCACAATGTACACATTTACCTTCTGAGGCAAGTTGTTTGTTTTTCTATTACATATATATAAAATACAGTGGATATACTTGGATTTTTCTTAGGTGCAAAATTTGTCTTGGACAAAAGAAATTCTTGCCCAGGGGATGAAAAAGGGTTTCCTGTTTGTGTGGTAGCAGCACAGGTGTTTGAGCCATCAACTACCACCCTGTTAGATGTAATAGCAGAAGCTGAATCTGAGCTGAAACAGCTGAAACTTAAACTAGCATTCTGCTATGGACTCTCGGTATTGCAAGTGGCTGTTTAATTGACTTGCTTTCTGTTAATTTGGTCTCTTAGTCGATTAGGTATCTTTCATTATTAGCAAATTGACATTACTTAATTTGGTCATATGGATCATGCTAAAGGAAAACATTTCATTGGAAGAGTGCTTAATATCTTATTTTGTAAACATTTTGGTTTTTTTATTGGTAGCTGATTTCCCAGATAAGAATTCTCCAATAGTATAAACTTAACTACCAGTGTTCTGAGGTACCTGTTAACAATTGACACCTTCACCTGGCATCTAAGAATCCAGAATTTCTGCACTTTAGACTCAGAAGATGATCCTCTAGTCTCAAGTGTGATGCAAAAGTCATTTGATGGCTTGGTGTGAGAAAAATAATTGGAGCATTGAAATTCTCTTAATAGAGACATTTGAACAAACCTTGCCTGTTACTCAATTTTCAGAGGTCCAAATGTTTCCAATAGTTTGGGTTTTTATGATTCCATAGTATGAATTATTGCTTTGTTTCTTTTTTAGTCACATCTTTAGCATTTTCATTTTAATTCCTTCTTGTTTTCTCATATATGTACTTGAGTCTAAATTAAAACTCTCTTTTGCTACAATGTCACAAGTTCTGAAGTGTGAAGCCTAATTAATCATCCAAGTCTACTTTTTATTTTCCACAACGGTTTCTTTTTAACTACTGAAAAACTAAAAAGAATAGACTAAAATTTCAGAACTTATGACGAGTTTTATTATTTTGTATTTGATTTATAATTTCATGAGTTGATAGAAGATATGAATAGAATGTTATTGATTCTCTAGTATTAGTGCAGATTTATTATGTGATCATATACATGCCTAACATTTTAAATATAGCCGTGATAAACTTGAGCAAAAATCTTGTTCTTTTATTGTGTGGATATGTTGTAGGGGATTCTTAAGTTTTCCAGTTGGAAGATTCAAACCTACGGTCTTCAAGGTTTTTTATCGTCTATAAATTCCTAATATTAATCATTATTTTATGGATTAATTGGATTTTACAGGCAGTATTGTTTATTTTTGCCTTACAGATGTTTATATTCAGTTTACACAAAAAGTTTCAAAAGTGTGTTTTGTCTTCCTGCATAATATTTGCATTTGTGTGGTAACTCTGTTTTTCATTTTGGTTTTTGCCTCAATGCATGTTTTTTTCTAACAATATAGTAACTTAAACAGCTTTCCTTTGAGACCATCGGATATATATTTTTCTACTTTCTTGGGAACAGCCTTTATCTTTTGGTTTTAGATTGTCTCTGGCAAATGCCGTCAAAATAAATTTTGCTATTAAGCCTACTTACAATTTATAAGATCACTTTTAGATGAAATTATTACTATTTTATTTTGACTTTCCGTATTCAAAGTTCTTTGCCTTTTTTTTAAAAATCCTCTCCTTTGTTATATTTTCTTTCTTTTCTTTTCTTTCTACTTATTCATAATTCATATACCTATATATTATTGCAGTGACTACTCTTGAGTCATTCTATGTTCATTTGACCTAGCAATGTTCAATGTTGATTTGCATCCACATCTTTCTTCGGAGCCATAAGGAAATTGCCTCCCTCTACTCTAATTCAGTTTCAACCACATTGTTATTGTTAACCATTGTTTTGGTAAAAAAAATTATTTCTCTTCAATTATAGTTATAACAATACCAGTTGATGGGGTCAATTGTTCAGGTTCCCTGTGCTCCTTCTTGCCTCTTGGCCACTGCTCACCTTTGCATTCAATTCCTTTTTTATTCTGAAATTCATTCAGTAATAGTCACTGCTTCCTGAGAATTCCAAACAACAAAACTGTCTGGAATTTGTTTGTCTAAAAAGACAGTTTACCCTCATCCTTAGACAACAATTGCTTGAGTGTTTTCTGACCTCATGTGGTGGGTATTAACTCTGCTGAAAGCTGATCTCTGCAGGTTTGAAGGTTGCTTATTTCTCCCTCGTTTGCTTTCAAAACAGTGTCTTTGTTTTTACGCTGCTGAGATTTCATTTGGTGTGTCTAAATCTCTTTTTATATTTTAATCATAGTTCAGATTGATTCGTAATTACTGAATCTGAACATTCTTGTCTTCCATGAATTCTAGGGTATATTTAGACGTTTGCTCTTTAGAATTACCTTCCTGATTCTTTTGTGTCTCATTTGAGAGCTCTTAATGAGACATATATGGATTTTCCTTCCCATGTCTTTGTCATATTTTCTGTCTTCTTAATTGTGCTGAATTCTGTGTATCTCTGGAGATCTCTTATGAAAGTTTACTAATTTTCTTTTATGACATCTATTCCATGTTTTAACTTGTTTGTTGAATTTTAAAATTCAGTTACATTTTTAGGAGAATGCTTTTGTTCTGGTCTCATGTGACTGAAACATGTTTTCAAATATTAAACATTGAAAAAGTACCAAGTTCACAAAATAGTTGTATGACCTGAAATTCTCTCAAAACCAAAGATTCTGGCATAAAAACAGACTTTTCCTCTGCAAACACAGGAATAAATGGGCATGCTTCTCTGTAATCACTCATTGCCATAAAAATTCAAGACTTCATCTAATCTTTACATGAATGTTAATGTTTAAGCATCAAGTTACCAAAACAATTACCCTAAAATGTCTACCATTTGTGGAGTTCTCTAATGGAAAAGCTCTGTATGAAAAGAATGTTGTTCTTCAATGTTTTTACGTTTCCAGGAGTTCTTAGGTTAAGAGTAATACTATTCACACAATACTCCAAACAACCAGATGCACAGAAAATATGTATGTAAGTGGTGAACAATTTGGGGGCATCTATTTGACAGAGCAGTAAAGCCAATGCTGAGCATTCCTACATCCTGCATGAAAGCACTTTGGTTCAAGTCCTGGTTGTGCTTCCTGGTGGTGTGTAATCAAGGAGGTGACAGGTGATGGTCACAGAAGACATGATCCATTCTTTAGTCCAGTCTGGCTGTGATCACTGTGGGCAGTTGGGGAATAAACCAATAAACAAGAGCTCTCTGTCTTCTGTATATCAGTCCTGTTCCCTATCTGGCTTTTGTTTCTCTCTATAAAAGTAAAATAAAAGGAATTCATGCATACTGGAGTGAACTAGAGGATAATCCTGGAAGCCCTGTTGGAAAAGATTGACAATTCACAAATAATTTTAGAGTAACTCATAAAGTAGCATCAAATAATACGCTTGTTTTTCAAGTTAAAACTTTAATGGACATACTTGAATGTATTCAAATGGGTATTTTTCATACAGTTTTTAAGAAAAATAGTACCATGTGGATAATCAATAAATGTTCACCTTTAGTTCTCATTTCTGTTTCAGCTTCGCATGTGCACATCACTTCTCTTTGACTTTACTTGTATGTTTATCAATAATGTGGATCCTTCCTTCTTTCCTTCCTTTCTTCCTTACAATCTTTTTTCTTGCCTTTACTTTGGAAAACATACTTGGTTTGGCCTGTGAAAGTCTGGAAACCCTGTGAACATAATGGCACCTAACCTGTATTTGTATATCAATTCTATCACTTTTTTTTTTCAATTTCGTGACTTTGAGCAACATGTGCTACTTATTGAAGCTCAGGTCTCACGATTCTAAAGTGGGGGATGTTAATATATATTTTGTGAAGTTACAAGAGAATATTTAAAGCATGTGCAGTCCCTGACACTGACATCTTATACTATATACTGCTCCACACAGTATATATTTGTTCAGTGAAATGATACATACATTTGGCTGCTTCTGTTTCTTTTATTGCTTCTGGTAGGAAGTCTAGCCTGTGGCAGTCTCAATATCTTCCCCCTTTTTCAGGATATCTCATCTTCCCTCTCTCTCTGGTCTGCATCATCTCTCCTTCGGATCATTTCACTGGTGTTTTTCACACATTTTACATGTAAAAATTCATTAACTATAACAAATATCTCATTTCTCTTAACTATATTACTTCTTGAGAATACTTTGGACATTTAAAGCACCTTATTATCTCATTTGACTTATTTGTTTATGAGTTATTTAATTTATTTGAAAAATCAAAGTAACAGAGAGGGAGTAACATGGAGAAAAAAAGATCTTTAATCTGTTGGTTCATTCTTCAGATGACAGCAGAGGCCAGGAATGGTCCAGACCAAAGCAAGGATTCTGGAACTCCATTTGTGTCTGCCACATGGGTGGCAGAGGACCAAGTAATTGGGCCATCTTCTGTTGCTTTCTTGGGTACATTATTAGGGACCTGGATTGGAAGTAGAGGAGCTAGGTCTTTACCTGTCCCTTAGATTTTGGAAGCCATTGTCACAATAGTGGCTTAATCCCAGGACATGAGACAAAGATTTCTAACAGTTGGCAAAGTCACACGATTCCAAAGCAGTGGAGATTAAAACTCAGGCTTCTAGGTTCTAGAGTCAGTGGTATTAACTGTCATGACAAACATGTCATTCCTACTGTTAGGTGCCAGACTAGGTGGTTTGTGTTAACTTTGCTTACTTCTTTGCATCTTCTCAGGAATTGGTAACAGTATAGCACAGCCCTCTTATGAGCTCATTCCCTTTTTCTTTTTCAGAGAGTCATTTTCAATATCGTCAATTTTAGTAAAACCAAGAGTCTTTATAGAGATGGGATGGCCCCAATGGTGAAATCTACCAGCCGACCAAAATGGTAAGTAACCCACAGAAAGAGAACTCTTTGTGGTTAGAAAATTTGATGCAGGGCTCTAGATGATCACCTGTGCCCCAGGGCTGTGTCTCACATTCGTTGACAAAAATGAGTGACAGAACACTTGTTTTTGGATGACATTGCCTAGGCAATAGATATTGCTCTCTGAGAATGTTGGAAACACGGTGCCAGTTTGGAGTAGCCGAAGGTATGATACATCAACTGTTTTCATATGTCTGACTCCAAAATCTTTCTCATAACAAGAAGTATTTTAGTTTCTCACTTGCTTTATATAGCTCTTTTGAAGAGAATTTGGTATATGTGTGTAGCTGTTGACATTGGTGTCTCTCTTAGCCGACAAAACTTATTTATATGCTATCATGGCTCCAAAACTGAGATTTTTTTGTTTTTTTATTTTTAAGAAAAAAACATTTACATATTTATTGAAAGCAGAATGAAAGGGAGGGAGAGAGAGAAAGGGAGGGAGAAAGGAAAGAAAGAGAAAGGGAGGGGGAGAGGAAAGAGAGAGAAAGGGAGGGAGAGAGAAAGGGAGAGAGAGAGGTAAGGAGAGAAAGAGATATTCCATCTGCTGGTTCACCTCCCAAATGGCTACAACAGCCAGAGTTGGACCAGGTGGAAATTAGGAGCCAAGAACTGCACAGTCATCTTTCACGTGGGTAATAGGGGCTGCCAGGTCTCGAACTGGCACTCTGATATGAGATCCCAATGCTGTAACTAACTAGTTACTCTGTACTGATATACCAGCATGAAAATGAGAGTTTTAAAAGACAGAAACTACATATTATTCATCTATCACACAGTAGGTGTTAAGTGAATGCTTGTTGAATTGAACTGAATTTGTTATGAGAATTTACATGTAAAGTGCCTGGCACTTGCTAAGTGTTCAATAAATGTCATTTATTATTAATAGCATTATGTAAAATTCTGTACAAATGCAAGGAATTGTTAATATTATTCTAGCTTTGATCCCTGTTCACATTTTAATGACTAGTGAGAAGATAGCTTCTGAATGTCTATATTTATAGAAAACTAGCAATTCATAAATATTGAATTGTGCTTTTATCTACAAGTGATACTTGGCAATTTTCTGTAACTGCAAGACTGAAAAGCTCAGGTTTATAAGAAGTATAGCCATTTGATGATGATAGTGAAAACTGTTCATTAAAAGGTAAAAATATTTCTCTAGGCTTTTTTTTTTTTTTACTAAAATACTGATCCTTTATTCAACATCCTTTGATAATGGGATCTGGGCATAGAATTAGCTTTGGTTTTTAGTCTCTGAATTCAGCCCAATAATAACAGAAACAATCTCTCTGTTCTATTAGCATATACATGTATGAACACTTCAAACTGTGCTAGTAAAAGGATGTATTGGTCTCATTCTCCTAAGGATTTTCAAAATAACATTGTGCATCTTTTTCTAGGTTCTCTGTTGGATTTTTTAGATAGTAGCAATAATCACTGTCCCCTTGCCCCAAGTGTTCAATATTGGATTCTCTCTCTCACTCATTTTTGACTATCAGTTAGGTTCTCCCAGAGTTTCTAATGTTACTGAAATTGTAACGAATCATTATATATCTAATTACCATAACCTAGAGCTGTGTTAGTGCTCTTAGCAACAGCTGTTACCCTGCCATTAGGCTTTTCTTATGGTTTATAAGAGTATAAAGTTTTAGAATGTAGTTTCTTGTTGTTTATCAAGCCAGTTAGACATAAAGTACAATGCCATACCTACACTTTAATTATGTGTCTGTTCCCCTTGTTCCATAGTACCCAGGCGTTTAGAAATGTATTTTATTTATAGGACTTATCTGAATACCCTGAAGTGCTATGACTTGTTTTTAGCTAGTGCCTATGAGTATGTCAGAAAAGAATTTTCTTTTCATGGTTTTTTGAATAATCTATGGATCATAGTTAATGTTCTTCTGGATGTTGCCTCATTCTGAGCATCCTTTTTGTGTAGGACTTACTTTTCTCTGATCTATGTATCAGCATCCTTCTCCAAGTAGCTATTATCTCAGATGTTTCAGAATTATATAGGGGAGTAGCTGTAACTAATGCGTTTTCAGGATGTTAGATTTCACTGGCTCCAAAAGGTTCATCATAATTTAGGACTCTAAAAAATAGTCTAACTCAAAGCCTGAAAGATACCAGATTTGTATATTAGAGTTGATTTTTCAGTGCTGTCCTAATTGCAGCTCACCTAAACCAAGGCAAACATTGTAACAAAAGAGGAGAACAATAGAGAAACTAGAAGATTCCTAAGTTTTCTGTCAGTCTTAGTTCACTCTTTCTTCTTACATATTAGACACTTAAGGTTTGTGACCAGGGCACTGTAGATTGGTTTCTGAAATCATAACTCATCAGTTAATATTTTTTAGCAGTTTCCAAGGCCAAGGTTGCTATGTTTAACTGGGTTAAAAGACAGTTAACGTCTATATCTTCACCTAAGTTGAATATGAGGCTAGCAGTGTTTACACAACTAGTGAGTGGTAGTACCGCCAGATATTGCATGACTTCAAGTTCAGAGTTTCATTATCCAAAAGAAGGAGTAAGGGAGAAGAGGACACAAAGAAGCAGGTGTACTGGTTGGCTTTTCCACCAGTGCAGATGGAGATGATTAGACTAACTCTTGGAGATGGCTTCCATTTAACACATTTTTATAAAGTTTGTAGTTTGTGCTAGATCTTAGGATGAGAAATGTTGATGTGAAATATTTCCTAAAAGATTTTATTTGAGTTTCAGGGGTTTAAATGAAACACAAACATTAGTAGGTGAAATATGAAGAATATTGTCTCAAGAATAGTTCGGGAGGTGTGTAAAGAGTGCTGTGTGGGCCCCCATGATGGCCTAATGGTTAAATCCTCACCTTGCATGCCCATGATCACATATGAGTGCCGGCTTGCCTCCCAGCTGCTCCATCTCCCATCCAGATACCTGCACATGGTTTGGTAAAGGAAAAGAGGATGGCCCAAAGTCTTGGGACCCTGTACTCATTGAGACTGGAAGAAGCCCTTTGATTCTGGCCTTGGTTCGGCTTAGCTCCAGCTAGTGCCGTCACTTGGGGAGTAATCATTTCCAATATTAAACAAACAAACAAACAGAAAAGACTTCTGTAGAATTAGAGACGAAAATGATACTATTATGACTGAGAAGATAAAAAAGAAACCCTCTTTGCAGCAAGTGGTACTTCAATCACATTTCACATGGGCCATGAGCAGGAATAAGGAAATAGGATTCTAAGTGGATAAAAGTATGTGATGAGCTAAATATCTCACCTCTTTCCCACGCCTCAGTTTCCTCACTGTGAAAGTGTATAACATCACTTTCTCTCAGAGTTGTTATAGGAAAAAAAAGGGACATGAATGTGAAAATGCTTTTTTGAAGTTTCAGATGTCTTCAAGAAAATGCTTTGTTGTTTGTTTTCTGCTGATTCACCCGTCTGATTGTGTGTTATTCCTTCTTTCCTGTGATCTACTTGTTTTGTTTACAAATAAATTCTTGTTTGGTAGGTGCAAAGGACCAGGAAATATGCAAAATTTTAAGCCATAATAATGACAAGAGAAATATGTTTACTATTCTCAAAATGTATAGTTTATGGGATGAACATGAAAAATGTAACTAAAGCGTGAAAACAGTTACATTGGGGAACTTGGTATGCTTTCAGTACAATTGAGCATGCTGTTTAGCATTTAATACCTAGCCTATTCAAAGAATAAGGGACCTCCCCTGGAAAGTGTTTATGATGAGAATTGGAAGATGAATAGGCGTTAGATCATAGCAGGTGGGGATATATATGAAGGAAGAGAATGTATTTGAAGAATGAAACATGAGAGAGAATATTACATCTTTGATGAGCAAAGGCCAGCATGATTGAAACATAAATTTCTAATGAGACAGTGATTTCATGTACAGGTAGGAGTGAAGCAGAGGTGAGCCTCATAAGACAAACTGAAACTTAGATTTCATTATAATGGTAATGGAAATAAATTGGAGGAATTTTGTAGGCTGGGACATTATCACTATGACATTTTAGGTACATTTGACTTTCTCCTGTACAGAATATGCAGTGTCTTGGAAAGAACAATTATTTTGAGTTTGTGTAAATAGCTTAGGCCACAGGTAATGATGGATTAGAATGGTAACAGCAGTGATGAAAACAAGTGAATGGTGGATTTGAGGGATAATGGCTGATTGAATCAGCTGAACTATGTGATTTACTGGCTATGGAAAGTAAAATAGAGGGAGGAGTCCTAGCTGACTCCTAGGTTTTCTAAAAAGTGCAACAGAAGGGATGATGATGTTATTTACCAAATATAGGGACAAAAGGGCAAAAATTATCTTTTGAATATTTACTTTGCTATAGGCAGTGATGGAATTGGCTTTTGAAACATTAAGCTAAAGTGCCTGGGAAACATGTAACCAGAAATGTCAGGGAGGTAACAAAATATGCTAAGTAAATAAATCTAGAGGTACCAATATAAAAGCCATTGGCCTTTCGATGAAACTCAGAATGGTGGAATTAGATGCAATCTCCCTAGGAAGTCATGTGGAGTGAAGAGAAATTAGGACAGTATACCTGAAAAAATTCCTCCATTGAATGGTTAGTAGAGGATTACAGGTTCATGCATAGCATGTGAAGAGGACAGGACTGATTGGCAGAAAGAGAACCAAGAGTGTGTGCTATCATGAAATGAAGGAGAGGGGTGTTTTCTGAAAGGAGGTATTGGCTAATATTAGCAACTGCCCCTGAGAGGTTAAAGATAATTGAAGTTTGAAATACCTAATGAATGTGGTGACATGAATGTCTTTTGAGGAATGGTTGATGGCATGGTGAATAGTGGAAGTTCAAGATGAGCTGTATGGGTGAAGGAGTGAATTATGGATGGAGAAAGTTTGAAGAAATAGGGACAATTTGGAAAGTTCTTTCAAACATTTGACTGTAGAAACAAGGAAAGATAGCTAGGCTCGTGGAATAGATG